TCGCTGCTATTTGGTCTTGACGTATGTAATGCGCCACTAACGGGGCTAACTGGTATATTAAACTTTTCCCAAATCCTGTAGGAAGAAGGGCAATAACGTTTTTCCGCTTGATAAAATTCACCAAACATTCTCTTTGTTCCGGCTTTAAATCCTCGATCTCGGGAATCGTTGACAACACAGAATATATGGCTCTTTGCTGATTGGCTGGTGCCCGAACTCGCACTTCTGGGGTTTTTGTGAACCGTTTAGTGAATTCTGATTCCTGACCTAGACGCTGGAGAAAAGTTTATTTGAGCGGAGGCACTGGGTGGCACCAGCCTGGCTACCAAACTATTACTTATTTCAGGCAAAAGAATTTATGCATTTTGTTTTGGATGTTTTCAAGAGTTTTCTGCATTTGAGGAATGAATTTTGAGTGATACAAATTAGTGTCTTGGGTTGGATCAGCACAAATTTGTAAGGAGTTTTTTCCAGCTCTATGGTCCTAGTTCCTTCTGGATTCTGGAGAATGTAGAAGGGACACACTGTGAAACATTCCAGACAAACCAATAACATCTCCTTGATGGACCCTCCACCCAAAAAGTTACACAATGCATCTTTAAGCGTTGCTATGGTCCCCGCCCTCCGGTGATCATTATGACAGTGTGAGGAAGCCCCCGTCTCTGGATCATTGTCCCGTCTGGAGACTCACAGGGGCCAGAGACGTGTCCTTTAGCCCCGGTGTGTCCATCACCTCCAGGCTTTGTTTAAAAGACCAAATATAGTTTAGATTTTTGTAATTTATGACTTTTAAACGAAATTGTACTTAAAAAGTCTTGGTATATTTATATATGAGTGTTTATATAAGAATTGTAGAAATGTTAATTTTTCCTTTTTAAATGTCTTGACAAGATCTTATTGTGAAACATTACGGTCAGAGCAGAAAGAATTCAGATTTAAAAGTAAGGTTTGGTCATGAAGTCTGCATTGAAATGGAAGATTCGTGTTCTATATATTTTATGTAATTTATGTAATTTATGCCTCTCTTTACCGTTGGTTAAAAATAGGGACACCTGGGACATTTCTAGTATAAAACTGGGACAAATCAATGGTTTTGTATAAATCTGCTGGGACAGGGGACACAGGGCTCAAAAGTGGGACTGTCCTGGGTAAATATGGACATCTGGTTACACTAGACCTGCTCATTTTTAAACTCTATACATCTTCTCAATAAACATTTGGATCATTTTAGCCCTGGAACTGCTCATCTCTAATGAACTAAAGGTAAATTTAGGAAATATAGTGAAATATAGGATCTTTAAGTTGACCAAGAATTTCAGCCCTGCTCTTACAAAAAATGACACTAACTAAAAATTAAACAGTGACAAAACAAGGACTAAAAGACGGCTGGAATGAGTACGACAGGGACTAAATCAGGACTAAACCAGGACTAAATCAGGACTGAATCAGGGCTAAAACAGGACTGAAACAAGACTGATCCAGGACTGAATCAGGACTACATCAGGACTGAACCAGGCCTGAAATAGGACTGAATCAGGACTGAAAGAGGACTCAAAGGGGATTCAACCAGAATTCAACCAGGACTCAACCGGGACTCAACCGGGGCTCAGCTAGGACTCAACAAGGACTCATAAACCAGGACTGATCAAGGACTAAAACAGGAGTGAAATAGGACCGAAACAGGACTGAAAAAGGACCGAAGCGGGACTCAATCAGGGCTTAAACAGGACTGATCCAGGACTAAAAGAGGATTCGAAGGGGATTCAACCAGGACACAACCGGGGCTCAGCTAGAACTCAACAAGGACTCATAAACCAGGACAAATCCAGGACTGAAACAGGACTGATCCAGGACTAAAAGAGGACTCTAAAAGGGGACTCAAACAAGACTCAACCAGAACTCAACCAGGACTCACCCTGGGCTATAATATAGGACTTTTAATCCCCACGTGCGCACCCCTGACACTGACATGTCAATCAGAGAGACAGCCGTGATAAAGACTTTAGGCCCCCACGACAGGGACACAGGGTCACACCAGCGGCATCATGGGAAAATGACAACACCAAACGGCATCAATGGTTCTCAGAGTTTGGTACTGGGAGCCGTGGGGGAGGAGGGGGATGGGTGAGTCTGACTTGATTCTTGTTTCAACTTAGTTAAATCCAAATTAAGACTCTTTTGAGCTTTAGGCCGTGTTCTAATGTTGTTAAGTCCTCAAAAACAGACCTGGAGTTGGTTCTAGCAGCTGAAAACCACCTATAGCTCAAAATAATACGACGTAAAAACAACTACTACTTCCAGTCTTAGTAACAGAGAGTAAATAAAAGTATTAAAATCACAATTGTGTTACAAAAATATGAGAAATTCCTGGATTGTGTCGTCAGAGGTAGAGGTTTTCATTCAGTTTGGTTCATGTCTCTGTAATAACTGGGCCTATCCACATGAAACATAAACCAAATTGAATATCTTTCCCATCTTGTCACCACAAATAAACCAAGCTGAAATGATTTACACCTCATTTGCTTCGGAAAGCGGTGCCATTACTCAACCCTAAAGACGTTGATTGTTGTCAGCTGAAAGGACTTAAGCCATAAATATGTCAAGTTTGTGAACTCACCAACAAATTATAAAGTGGTGGAGAATTTGTGTATTTTCTCAGTTTGGATATTTATTTGAAATCTCCCATGAGGTCAGTCGTGCAGCTGGAGCAGCCATAGGAGGCCCGCAGAACCTTCACAAAAACACGGAATTGAACCCGAGACCTCGCTGTGAGTGGGCACGAACCGTTGAGCCATCGTAGTGTGGTCCAGATCCAAACTCATGGGTCATTACTGGGGATGTAACGATATCCAAACTCTCTCGGTACGATATTTTCACGATATACATCTCACGGTACGATATTTATTGTGCTTCTGCATACTGCCATGACCGAGTAAATATATTTTAACCACAGACTGTGTAAAGAAGTGGACTAAGTGAGTGTGACATCAACAATAGCGTTCAGCTCCAGTCAAATGAAGCTCACCGAGGCAAGGAGTTATAGGACAAATTCGGTGCAGACTTTTATGTTAGGAACAGGAATCGATTTTTTGGGCAAAATTGCGAAATAAAAACACCAGGATCATGTAGAGCGGGTTAATATGAACATTTTAAGTCCAAAATTAGTCCCCTCGTTCAGACATGGTTTAGTCCTGGTTTAGTCCTAATTCAGTCCTGGGTTAGTCCTGGTTTAATCCCTCCTTTTGTCAATTTGTTTAGTCCATGTTCAGTTTGGTAAAGTCCTGGTTCAGTCATAATAGATCTGTCCTGATTTAATACTGGTCCAGTCCCAGTCCAGTCCTGGTTTAGTCCTGGTTTAATCCCCCCTTCTGACAGTTGGTTTAGTCCTTGTTCAGTCTGGGTAAAGTCCTGGTTCAGTTACAGTAGCTCTGACTTAATCCAAAAGAACTAAGATTTAAAAGTGTTTAGAACTGCTATTTCTTCATGTAGTTTGCACCAAAACGAAGCAAAGGATCATGGTCGATGTAGTTCCCTCTGTTTTTTTACCTTTTGCTGCTCCATAACAATGAATTTAAGCAAATAAACTTGTGATTCGATATATTGTGATGGTCCATGATATTATTGAGAGACTTTTGACGATACGATATCACAATATTTTGGTTATTGCTACACCACGAGTCGTTAACACTGTTTACTTTTTTATAATTTTTTATGTAATCTTTACTTTACCAGAGCAATCCCAAATAAACGCTTTTCAGTGGGAGACCTTGCCAAAGGGAACCTCAGCAGACTTAAAACAGTTTAGTTAGAATTCAGAAAGATGTATTAGAATCCAAATCCAAGGACTCAGCCGGGGCTCAGATAGAACTCAACAAAGACTCATAATCCAGGATTGATGCAGGACTGAAAGAGGACTAAAACAGGACTAAATCAGGACTGAATCAGGACTGGAACAGGACTAAAACAAGACTGAAACAGGACTAAATCAGGACTGAATCAGGACTAAATCAGTACTAAAACAGGACTAAAACAAGACTGAAACAGGACTGAAACACCTTGCCAAAGGGCACCACGGCAGACATAAAATAGATTAGTTAGAATTCAAAAAGATGAATTAGAATCCAAATGTTACACTGTTATATGTTTATGTTATTCATATTGTACTTTATAATAATGCAAACACAACACAACGAGTCTAAAGGATCCAACTTGAGACGGTTTTAAAGACCAAAAAAACCAATCAATTCACGTGAACCTTGTATAAAAAGGGTTTATACGCCATCTTGTGGACACAGGCGTGTACTATACAACAATTACTGATACTTGGAAAACAATCTTAACATATAAAAAGTACTATAATACTATAAATACTATAATAAGTACAGGGATGGTTTATTGATTATCAGAACATTTTAGCCGATATTTTGTACCAATATTTTTAGTCTTTGTTTTGTCTTTGTCATGAGCTAGTTTCCAGGCTCATGAGAGAAAACATTATATTTTTTTAATACCAGATAAATGCATTTCATTATTTTGTACAAAAGTGAAAGGTTCATTTGTAAACCTCAATATAACTTTAAGGGCTTTTATTGTGCAAAATTGACTCTTGTGAGCTTTAAGTCATGTTAGATTTTTATTTTAACGTAACTGAGTTGTGTTTTCTTTCATTCACACATTTGAGTAACACTTTATTATTAATCTCTCCACATCTTCAAAGCTCAAAATCCAATGTTGCACCTTGTGATGTCATGAAGGGGTAGTTTAGTTTAGTAGAAATTGGCAACTCCAGGACTGAAATCATCCACGTTTTCACCCTAAATCTGCAGTGTTTGTGTTTTAAAATGCGTGAATGAAACAAAACACAAATCCAGGTGTTTGTGACAAGAAAACTACATTATAATAGTGATAAATAAAAAATACCATTATAAAGGCCCTTTAAATATTCTCTCTTATGTTTGCTGTTTTTAATTATCACAGTCCTAAAAACAGACAAGAAAATGTTGCTTTCTTTACAAACGTTTTATTTGATGCAATTTTTCAGCCACTTCTTTGAAATGTCTTTACAAGCCACTTATTTTTAAGTTTTACAAGTCCTTGTTTTATCAAATACATCCAAAAACGTCACCACTACAGCGCCCCCTCCTGTTCTCTCACTTCACAGCACATTAACACCGTTTATAATTTCTCAACTGGCCAAAAATGTAAAAAGTATACTCTCTACTGCAGATTAAACACTAACTAACTCTAACCCACTGTTCTCCTTTGAGGAAATGAACTGTCAATTTAGAAGCCACTCTTGATAAACGTCTTATTTTGAGGCATTTAAAAGGTCCATTGCGTAACTTTTCTGATTCAAATACATTAATGCTTTGTCTAAAATGTTCCACAGTATGGCATTAAACCGTTTTATCTTCATGGAAACCAAACCAGACCAAGTTACAGTCAGATCTGTGGAGAGGCGACCTTGCTCACAGTCAGAATCCATGTTTTTCTAGGCATTTTTGAGCTTTAAAACCAGCTGTAATTGAGTAAATCTAAGGCAGAGCTGTTTAATGCCATACTATGGAACATTCCAGACAGCGCAATGACATCTCCATAGTAACAAGCAGGTGACGGACGCCCAAACCGAAAGGTTACACAGTTCACCTTTAAACAGAAAGGGGGAAAAAATAAAACATAAAATAAAATAAAACCACACATTTTCAATTTTCCTCGCTATTCTCATAAATTATTTGACAGGCCAGTAAAAAAAACAAAAAAAAAAAAACAAATGGAAAAAGTAAAGCACAAATAAAGTGTCCAACAATCCAATACACACACACGTCAAGAAACAGGAGTGAACAATCAGACCAAAAGTAAAACAAAGGACCTTTTATCAGGGCTTAACACGAACCAAAAGCTGACTTCCATTTTCGCTGGTTATACCTTTATGTACCTTTACTATGACCAGGTATAAATATTTTAACCACAGACTGTATAAAGAAGTGGACTAAGTGAGTGTGACGTCACCAAAAGCGGTCAGGTCCAGTCAAATGAAGCTCACTGAGGACAAAAAAAGTTACAGGGTGAATTTGGTGCAGACTTTTATGGAATAGGAATCGATGTAGGGGTAAAAGAGTAAAATAAATACACCAGGATCATGCAGAGCGGGTTAATACGAACATTTTAAATCCACTATTAGTCTCCTGGTTCAGAGCCGGTTTAGTCCCGGTTTAGTCCTAATTCAGTCCTGGGTTAGTCCTGGTTTAATCCCTTCTTTTGTCAATTTGTTTAGTCCATGTTCAGTTTGGTAAAGTTCTGGTTCAGTCATAGTAGCTCTGTCCTGGTTTAATCCTGGTCCAGTCCCAGTCCAGTCCTGGTTTAGTCCTAATTCAGTCCTGGGTTAGTCCTGGTTTTGTCATGGGTTAGTCTGGTTTAGTTTTGGTTTAATCCCTCTTTTTGCCAGTTGGTTTAGTCCCTGTTCAGTTTAGGTAAAGTCCTGGTTCTGTCACAGTAGTTCTGTCCTGGTTTAGTCCTGGTTTGGTCCTGGTTCAGAGCAGCTTTAGTCCTGGTTCAGTCCTAATTCAGTCCTGGGTCAGTGTGGTTTAGTTCTGGTTTAATCCCTCCTTTTGCCAATTGGTTTACTCCCTGTTCAGTTTTGGGTAAAGTCCTGGTTCAGTCACAGTAGATTTGTCCTGGTTTAATACCGGTCCAGTCCCTTTCCCGGTTCAGAGCTGGTCTAGTCCACCTGGATCATGTAGAGCAGGTTAATATGAACATTTTAAGACCAAGATGAGAACCCTGACAGCAGCAGTTACAGAGAAAGAGGTGACGATTTTTCAATACAAAGTGGATTGGAGCCAGAGTCGATGGAGCCGGAAGTGCCCATGCTCACTTCCTATTTAGCCACGTCCATTTATATAAACAGTCTATGCTTTAAGTACCATGTTAATAGCTTTGTAGTTCTGTAGAGCTCTAAGAAAATTATTATGATCGGAAAAAAGCGTCTGAAAAGGACTTTAGTCAATGGAATGAAAGCGGCAAAAGTTCATGTTAAACCCTGATTAAAAGCTGCATTGTTTAACTTTTCTGGTGGAGCGTCCGTCAAATGCTTTTGTTCCAGTATGGCATTAAACCTTTCTATCAAGTTACAGGTCAGCTCTGTTGAGAGGCGACTCTTTTCATAGTCAGAATCCCTGTTTTTGTAGGTTTTTGAGCTATAATTGAATAAATGTAATTTTTTTTTTATATAAGGTTGTTTAAAGTCATATTGTGGAACATTCCAGGCGTATCCATAGTGGCATATCCATAGAAACAAGCAGGTGACGGACCTCCAACCAAAAAGTTACACACTGCACCTTTAAACGTTACTATTTTTTTTTTCCTATTTTGCATTTATAAAACTTTTTGACATCTTTAAATTTGACATCAGTTGAAACGCGCTACGGACAGGATCTACGGAGCTGCTGTTAGTAAAGTTTTATTGAATTAACGTGTATAAGAAATAAACGATAAATAATATTCAATAAAAAGAAATAAAATACAGATTGCTAACAGCTAAAATAATAGTTTTTTATAAAGGAATAGTGTTTTAAAGGCGCACTGTGTAACTTTTTGGTTGAGGGGTCCGTCACCTGCTTTTTAATTCTTTCTTTTTTTGTCATCGCTGTGTCTGGAATGTTCCGCAGTATGACTTTAAACAGCTCTACCTTACATTTATTGAATTACAGGTGGTTTTATAGCTCAAAAATATGTAGATATACAAGATCTGACCTGTAATTAACTGATTCTCTGTGGTTTGGTCTCATGATGATTGACACGTTTAATGCCATACTGTGAAACATTCCAGACAAAGCAATAACATCTCCACGGAGAAAAAGCGTTTGACGGACCCTCCACCACAAAAGTTACACAGTGCAGCTTTAACTATATGAAGGTTCCTGTGATAAACAAAGTAATTATAAAACATCTGTAAAATTCAAAGCAGAATTCTCATGAACATTCACAAACCTAGTTCCTCCAGTGGAATTATATCCTATGACCCAATTCCGTTTCCTATTTTTGTAAATCCCGCCCCACTGAGGAGAGACGACCAATGAGGACTGAGGCGGGTTATTTCCCATTGGCTCTCTCCTCTAAACAAATATAAAAAAAAATAAAAAATTATAAACTTGTTCTGATAATTTTCACAGCCTTAAAATAAACAAAGAGAGCTGCAAACCATCGTCATGATAGAACGTAAAGTTAATGTAAAACAATGACTGTGAAACAATAAACCCTTTAAAAGGTCCTATATTACACAAAATTGACTCGTTATTGAGCTTTAAGCCAAGTTATAATGTTGTTACCGCCTCAAAAACAGACCTGGAGTTGTGTTTTGTTTCATTCACACATGTTTGGGTAATAAAAACTTTTTCACAACGACCGGAAGTGCCACGATGTAGGGTCAACTTAACTCCCGGATAATGTTTTTCTGTGGCAAAATATCTGTAGAAATGTCTTCACCAGCTTCATAAATCTGCCCCCATCACTTCATCTCAACAAGGTCGACAAAGGACATATTCTATCCATGAAGAATTTATCCACAACTATCAGGACGAAAGACGAAAACGTAAACACAAACAACGACGACGCATTAGTGAACTACTCCTGAGCAAAAACTAACATTATGGTCATGAATAAAACATAACTAATAAGTAATTCATTCATTCATGTCTCGCATTTAAGCTGCACAAATCTCTCTGTCTATTCTAATATCTACATCATGAAATCAGTATTTAATTTTAATTCTAGGATCAGTCTGAGTTCACAAGTTACTTATGTTTTATTCATGACCATAGCGTTAGTTTTTCTCAGGAGTAGTTCACTAATGCTCGTCGTTGTTCGCCTTTTCGTTTTCTTCTTTCTTACCTTGATAGTTGTGGATAAATTCTCCAAAATTTAAAATGTTTATCCTTTGTTGACCTTGTTGGTTGAAGATTTGGCGATGGTGCAGATTTATGAGACATTTCCACAGATATTTTTGCCGTAGAAAAGCATTAACTGGGAGTTACGTTGACCCTACATCGCGACACTTTCGGCTGCAGTGAAAAAGGTCAATCCTGCATTATTAGTCTGTCTACATCTCTGTTCCACCTTGTGATGTCATGAAGCAATAGATTAAGTTTTCAGCTCCTTTTAATTTTTGTTCAGTACGGATTGGCAGTTCCATGGTTGAATTTTAAAGCGCTTTGAGAGCCTTGAAGGTGGAAAAGCGCTGTATAAAAATTTGACCAATTGCGACTATAACCGTGACTATGGACTTTAAAAACACAGTGGAGCTCCTTCTGTATTACCACGTGTTTTCAGTTTGAGAGAAGAACTGAAGAGCCTGAATATGAATGAAACAAAACAACTCCAGGTATGTTTGTGGCGAGGAAAACATCATAAAAAGTTCGGAAAATACCGTAATATGGGCCCTTTAAAGCATATTGCAGCATATTGTCTAGAAAACTGTTGACCTTCACTTTTGTACAGTGTCCATGTGGAAATGTTCAGTTTTTAGAGTAGGTCTGGTACTCCTCACAGAAGCCAGGGTCCTCCTCTGAGTAGTTCTGGTCTGTGGCGGCGAAAGGATTCCCGTCCCACTGATCCTCCAGGGCTCCGTACGGCCGCTCCTCCCCAGACGAGAGCTGCTGTTCGGGGTACTCACCGCTGAAGGAGTCTGAGGCCTGGAGGGACTCTGAGGGAGCCAGCCCAGACTTCTTCAATCTGGGAAAGAAAAATCACGTCACATCTGATCTAAAACTCAAACAATAAAACTGATTTATCCATTTCTTATGTCTGTCACTAAAAATATCACAAGCTCTGGCTCTGAGTCCCGTAATTACTTTTTCTCTTTTTGGTCAGACGGTGTTAAAATAAAGCACAGATTAAAGTCTAATAAAGTCGGAGACAGAGCAGAGCCTAAAGTTAGCATTCCACCCCCAGGGAATGTAAAGAACAAATGATTATAATGATGGGCTCTGATGCAGGACTCACTGGTTCTTGTGTTTGGCCCCGCTGATGTGGGACTGGTACTGCTCCACAGAGTTCAGCTCCAGTTTACAGATGGCGCAGGGGTAGCCCTTCACGGTCGTTGCTGTGGGAGAAATAAGTTTGGATCAGGTCAGGTTAGATTAGTCCATGTTTAAAACCCCAGCTCCTTCCCTGCTCCCTCTCTGTTACCTTTCCCCTCACTCTCTCCTCACTCTCTCCTCACTCTCTCCTCACTCTCTCCTCACTCTCTCCTCACTCTCTCCTCACTCTCTCCTCTCTCTCTCCTCACTCTCTCCTCACTCTCTCCTCACTCTCTCCTCTCCCTCTGCTCCATCCCTGCTCCCTTCCTGCTGTCTTTCCCCTTCCTCTCTGCTTCCTCCTTGCTCCCTTTCCCCTTCCTGCTCCCTTTCCCCTTCCTGCTCCCTTTCCCCTTCCTCTCTGCACCCTTCCTGCTCCCTTTCCCCTTCCTCTCTGCTCCCTTCCTGCCCCCTTTCCCCTTCCTCTCTGCTCCCTTCCTGCTCCCTTTCCCTTTCCTGCTCAGTTTCCCTCCTCCCTGCTCCTTTCCCTTCCTCTGCTCCCTTCCTGCTTTCCCCTTCCCTGCTCCCTTTCCCTTCTCTGCTCCTTCCTGCTTCCCCTTCCTCCCTCCCTCTTCCTCCCTCCTCCCTTTCCCCTTCCTCCCTCCCTGCTCCCTTTCTGCTCCCATTCCTCTTCCTCTCTGCTCCCACCTGCTCTCTTTCTGCTCCCATTCCTCTTCCTCTCTGCTCCCTCTGCTCCCTTTCTGCTCCCATTCGTCTTCCTCTCTGCTCCCACTCTGCTCCCTTTCTCCTTCCTCTCCACTCCGCTCTGACCTGGGGCTGTGGCCGGGCCGTACGTCTCCATCAGCTTCATTTTCTTTATGTGTTTTTGATGCTTCTTTCCCTTAAAAAAGATGGAGGACAGTTAGTGGAAGTGAAGACAGTGAAGCCTTTTTTTAAAACCACTTTACCACAGCTCATGTATATCAGTGAATTTTAACAGGAGTAATACAGTAACAATATGAAGTAATTTTACATGGCTATATATTACACAAACATGATTCTTGTGACTTTTAAACCACGTTATAATACCGCATCAAAAACATACCCAGAGTTGTTTTAATTCATTAACACATGTAATGTTTGTGTAACCATTTATTATTAGTCTGTCTACATCTCTAAAGCTCAAAACGCTCTGACCTTGGAATGCCATGGTAGTTTGCCTTTGTTCAGTAGAGATTTGCAATTCCAGGGCTGAAATTATCCAAATGATTATAGAGCAGGTGTATGGAGTTTAAAAACACAATCACTATCCTGGAGTTGTACAGAGGCAGAGAGTCTAGAGTCTGAGGCAGGAGAAGTTTATTTACATCAGTCTGGGAACCGATGAAATTGAATGCTCAACACTGCACATTAGTATTGGCTATAAAAGTACGACTATGCTTCTACGCAAAGAGGTTTAAATAGGAACTAAGAAGAACAGGCTGGAGAAGATAAAATAAGAAGAGCACAGCAGACCCCTTTTGTGAGACTGATAATGGCAAAGAAGGACAAATTCTGTAATAGTTGGATGACGCCGGAGTTAAACCACAGAGAAGTGTCAACAATGAACTGGAGGTGCCCAGTGCAGGCGATGCAAAATTCCACAAACCAGTATTACCACATGACATCACAAGGTGGAAGAGATTGTTTTATGTTTGAAAGTAGAACTAAAATATGCAAGGTTTGTGTGTTCAACATGTGTGGGAATGAAACTAAACTAACTCCAGACATGTTTGTGATGAAGGAAACATTATAACAGATCAGAAAACAGTGTAATGTGGGCCCTTTCCTTCCGGGGAGGCTGTACCTGGTAATGCTGCTGGGCCATCAGGGGGTTGTTGAAGGAGGCCTGACACACAGAACAGAAGTGGTTGGGGTTGGATTTGTCGTTCAGTGGAGACTCGCCCGTTTTCTGTTTCTTCGTTTGGACTGTAGGTGCAGGCGCAGTCATCTGAGGAGCCACTGATGAAGACAAACAGGTACAAAGTTAAAGAGGAAGTATTACACTACTACGGGTATTAATTGTAAACATGTAACATATTTAGATCACCATGTTACCTTTTATTGTTCTGAAAATGCTATATTCACCAAAAACAATGTATTAAAGTGTAATTATTGCATTTTGTTTTTAACACTCCGAGTCTCTCGTCCCATCCCACTAATGAAACTACCACTTCACAAACCTGATGCGATGTGCAGTAGTGTATTGTTTTGTGTCATGTTTTTGTATATTTATGGAGAATTGTAGTGTGGAAGCATGAGTGATGTAGATTTGTGGGATGTAAAGTGCTTTGCGTGCCTTGAACTTGGAAAAGCGCTAGATAAAAATGTGACCACAACTCATTGCGATGGATTTGATTACAGTATTTTCTGCACTATAAGGCGCACTCTTAAGCCTCCCAATCCATCATAAAACGACTGCGCGCCCCACAATCCAGAGCGCCCTATACCAGAATCCACTTGGGTGTCCTACAACTTCAGTAAACTACAAAGCTGCACCACCCGCAGCGCACGCACAAACACGCACGGAGCAGACAGCGACCGCGCAGCGAAACACACCCGCAGCCACACTCATCACTCCACACTGACGAGGAACGGAACAGAGGAATGAAACGAAAAAGCAAGTGCAACATGCCACTTCTAGACACAACTGAGTCACTGCGAACACGCCGACAATCCAGCGGTCCCAGACAGCACCCTCCCTACACGCCACAACTGAACAAAGCCCAGAGTCACCGTGAACGTGCCAAACAAAATCCCACTGACCCATCCAACTGTTGTGTTTCATTTAAAGTCTGTTGAGGTTTATTTGTGAAAAAAGTTTAAAAATAGACCATTTAATGACTGAGCGACTAATAGTATGGAAAATATGGTATTTTATTATTCATTAGTATTTTTGCTCTTATTTAATGTCACTACTTTTACTGTTTTAATAAGACTATTGGAGCTAAATAGAGCTTTGTTTTATATTTTTTCATCTGTATTGTGTTCTGGAAACTGTTTTGTTTATTAAATGTGCTTTAAATAAAGTGGATTGGGTTGGATAAGAAGAGACATGAGGCACAGTGTCACTATTTTAAATGGTGTCTGTGACCAGTGTTAATAAGCAGAGTAGAGTTTGTCTGATGCATTCACCTGTGTTCTGGGGGCCCACAGTCTTGAGGCGCAGGTTCTTGGCGTGGACTTTTCCCTGATAATGAGACTCCGCCATCACTGCCGAGGTGAACGTCATGTTACACACCAGGCACACTTTGAACCGGTCTGTCTCCCCGTTATTACAGTCCTGAAGAAAGTCACAATCAACATGTGCTCATAGGTGTTTATACAGTTAGAACAGACAAAACATTCCCCATTCAAGTTTTGATTTATTTTAAAGGTCCTATATTACACAAAATTGCCTCTTGTGAGCTTCAAGTCTTCAATTGTTCTACACAAATAAACTTGCTTTGCCTAATGCTGTTATAATGTTGTTACCTCCTCAAAAACAGACCTGGAGTTGAGTTTTGTTTCATTCACACATTTGAGTAACACTTTATTATGAGTCTGTCTACATCTCCAAAGCTCAAAATGCTCTGTTCCATCTTGTGATGTGACAAAGCTGTAGTTTTCAAGTTAACAGCTACATTTTACTTTTTATTCAGTATCCAAATGATTCTAGTAAAGGTGTGTGGAGTTTAAAAACACAGTGGAGCACTTCCTGTATTACCACACTCATGAGGTGAAACAGAGTCTTTTCTATGTAACTTCTAAAAATGCAATTTGTGTGAATGAAATATTAATTCATGAATTAATTAATATGGAGCCATTTACATGTTATTTGTAAAAAATCTTAATCTTAATTATATGTATGGATTAGAAGGTAATTAATTTACTTTTCACCAATTACAATCAACAATAATTCAAATGGAAATACTTCTGTACCTTCTTTTTCTTTTTCTACTAACTTTCTACTTAGATAATAGTCCATTTGTCAGTTTTAACTCACATTGTTATCTTTTGTGGGCTTCTTTACAGTAGGCTCATTCTCGTTCTGAATAAAAAAGTAGCGTCGCACTTTGTTGGCATGTTTCTTGCTCTAGAAACAAAAAAAAGTCAAAGGTCAAACATTTAATCGTTAGGTGCAAAAACACAGTGCTACACTAAAGGTGCACTGTGCAACTTTTCCAGAGGAGAGGCCATCACCTACTCGTCACCATGCAGATGTGTTTACTTTGCCTTGGATATTCCAGTGTATGGCATTAAACAAATTATCTCTCCACAGAAGCAAGCAAGAGATGCCACTACGCTAATTTAAAGGTCAGATCTGTGGAGAAGTGACCTCGCTCACAAAGGATGTAACTACATAAGAGCGGAGAGACAGAGAACACAGGAGCACGTCCAGTTTTAGAATAATAGGGATGTAACTATATCCAAATCTCACTGTACGATATTTATTGCAATATTTTGTGGAGGTGAATATGCTACTTTTTCCTCTTAAATTGCCTTGACAAGACTTAAACCAAAGAACTAAGATTTAAAAGTGCTTATAACAGTTATTTCTTCATGTAGTCTGCACTAAAACAGAGCAAAGGATCATGGTCTATGTAGTTCCCTCTGTTTTTTTTAGATATTGCTGCACCATAACTATTAATTTAAGCGAAGAGACTTGAGATTCGATATATTTTGTGATTATTGTAAGACCTCTGACGATACGATATCACGATATTTCAGTAATTGTTACATTCTTAGTTAATAATACAAATGAAGTATAATAAACATATTGGGCGTTAGGGCTGACAGTAGCTCAGTTGGTAGAGCATTTCTCCACTGATCTAAAAATATACCATCAAAAAGCCTGGATACTGTTATAAAAATTAGCAAATTAACACATAAAAAAACATTCACAACACAAATTGAACCAAGGTAAAATCATGTGACCAAAATTGTAAATTGATACGATTATTGTTATTTCAAAATCTTGTCTTCTGGACCCCATCTCTCTTCTCTGTCTCGTGCCACCCCTATTAAATATAACTCTTCAGTCAACGAAATAAGATCTTCATAGCCGCGGACCCCCACCAGAAACGTTACACTGTGCACCTTAAGCAACCTCGGGCATCTCATTAGGATACTTAGCAGTTGTAGATGGTCAACAAAACACAAAATAGGCTTTTTCTTGTTCTCTAAATGAAAGCGTGTGGGCGCAGATTAAAGGCAGAGTACACTGGTAGGACAGACTGACCTGATAATGAGTGAGCTTCTGGGACTCTGAAATGAGGACAGCGCTGCACACTTTACACTGAGAATCCGAAAACAGGTCGCTGTGCTCCTCGATCATTTTATTCACTGGAAAGAAAAGAAAAGAAGAAATAGGGTTGTCAAAGCTAAATATCAATACTGAATCTATTATGAAACTACAAACTAATTTGTGCAGGTATTTATACTATAAAAGCCACATTCATAGGACAGAAATTAACCTTTACTGAATATCTTTTTAATGACCTCTAGCTGTATTTGAGCAAGTATAAGAGCACATAGACTAGTACACGCCCATGGACCACTGTGGAAACTATTTGAACCACTGAGGGATTACACAAATATAAGATCACATGGTAATGTAAGAGAAAGTACTGTGATTTTAATGTTGAAAATCACATTCTATTGACTACATAAAGTTTTTTTTAATCATCATCATGGTATAGAAATCGGTACTGAATATCCAGACTGTTCCTTGGCATTAAAATTAACTTTGAAATTCACCTAGAGAGTGGGAAGAAAACAAAGCAGATTTAATTATGGATACTAAATATCACAAAAAATATAAATTACTTAACAATAAAAATATCCGCTTGTAAAAATATGCAGGATTGTGGTATATAACTGTATATTGCTGTATATAACTGTGTATAACTGTGTATAATAACTAAATTCACACGTATATAACTCAATATAATGTGATAAGAATTGAAAAATTTGTGAAATTCCACCATTGTGGGAACCAATTTGTCAATTCTACGCAATATTATTACAATTCTTCTATTGTAAATTCTGCAAACATTAGGCAAATTATTAGGACAGGTTTATAGAGAGACGACATTAAAAAAATGGATCAGTGAAAACAATGTACAGTTTTAGTTTTGTAATCATGCAAAAACTAGGTCTCGTGTCATAAGAGTGTCCTTCATTTAGGGTGACCAGACATTCCTATTTACCCGGGACAGTCCCAGTTTTGAGCCCTGTGTCCCCTGTCCCATCAGATTTATACAAAACCAGTGATTTGTCCCAGCTTTATACAAGAAATATCCCAGGTGTTCTTATTTTTAACCAATTTGATCTAAACCAGGACTATACCAAGATTAAACCAGGACTATCACAATTTTTGACTAATCTGATCCCTGCCAATATTAAAAAAAGGAGTATAAATGTTCATTTGTTTAACCAAAATATTAAAATCCGTGTTTGTGAATGACCATAAAGCAAAAAAAATGCAGCGATGTCCCTCAGATTATCACGTTACTCGCTCTTTTCACATTTTTATGTCTGTCAACCATCCCAACCCAGATATGACCCAGTTTATGCAATATATTGGTCTTCTATTGTAAATTCTGCAAATTATTAGGAAAGGTTTGCAGAGAGACTATATTAATGAATGGATGGGTGAAAATATTATACACTTCTAGTTTTGTCATCATGCACAAACTAGGTCTCGTGTCATAAGATTGTCCGTCATTATGTCATTTCGTTTGTTCTGGACCATCTCTACCATGCAAGAAACGTTTGATTATGTTATTGTCTTTGCATCCTTAGTAATTAAAGCAGATCGTACGAGAGAAAACCGCGGATGCTTCGTGCTCTCGTCGACCTTGGAGCTCGGAGCGCTGCGGCTAACTTAGCTTAGCATATAGCACCGGGCTGCACTCTGCGCGCCTCTTCTGCACTTTAAACACGCCCGCTGCAGCAACGAGACGCATTTCCCGCTGGAGCCACGCACACACACATCCCCACAGTATCAGGTAAAAGATCAGTGAGGAAAAGTGCCTTACCCTCCGCTAAACCCGAAGGTAAATATGGAAAATTATCGGTTTGCATCGTGTCCGCCATGACGCTCACAGCTGCTTCTAAACGCGCATGCGCAGAGGCAGATGAATGAATTACCTGTTCGACATAAACTTCTCTCTGTTTACTCTCTCTGCCTTAGATTATAAACCTTTTTTTATATATATAATTACATTTATACATTTCGATAGCAAATTACAAAGTATGTGTATCAACATACATCATATTTGTGCACCCCCCCCAAAAAAAAAATAAAAAAAAATAAAACAACTCTAGCAAAAATAAATAAATAAAATAATAAATATAATAATAATAATAATAATAATAATAATAATAATAATAATAATAATAATAATAATAATAATAATAGGAAAAAAATAGCAGATAATCCAAAGACAGATAAATACATAGTGACAAAAAAAAAAAAGACATACACAACCGTGTTAATTTATATGTGTCCATTTTATTCATTTATTTATTTATTTAATTTTGTTGAAACTACAAGTGCACACCTCTTCTTCTCAATGGGCAAGAAACTCATGAGATTTTTATGTGAACTTGGAGAATAGAAAATTATTTGAGAGAAAAAATTGAAGTAGATCTTTTTTACACTCTGATTAGAAACCGTGAAGCTTACATTTTATAGATCACTGTGGCTGGGTTACAGCTTACAGATCAATTAACATTCAGGCCTAATACATACATTAAATTCAGATTTATTGTGGGGTGACCAGATTTTCAAAATAAAAAACTGGGACACTCTCAGTTTGGAGTGGTTGGTAATAATAAAATTGTGAAACGAATGTGTAATTAAGGAAAATATGTTATGCACTTGGCACATTCACGAATGACATGTGGGTCTAGTCTGGTATAGTCACATTTTCTTTATATTTTGGTCATTTTTAAGCAGCTTTTCTGTATTTTACCTCAACAAACATCAATGTATGTCTCTCTTTACTGCTGGCAGGGATCAAATTGGTCAAAAATAGGGTCACCTGGGACATTTCTTGTATAAAACTGGGACAAATCACAGGTTTTGGATAAATCTGCTGGGACAGGGGACAAAGGGCTCAAAACTGGGACTGTCCCAGGTAAATAGGGACGTCTGGTCATCTTAATTTATAAGGTTCAGTTCAACATCTGTGAATTTCACTGAATTGTGTATATATTTTTATAATATAGACTAAACAATATAGGGACACCTGGTTCTTGTTCCCCATCTGGAAGTATGACAATAACCACATAATCACTAATCATCACATCATCTAAAAACCACCAATACATAGGACCTGATATATTGAGATGTGTTAAAATGTGCTTTCAACCTTATGTCAGGCCTGACAGAACAGGTTTGGGCTGGTGCCTGTTTTCCTCAGAGCCAAATTAACATTCACCTCAGTATGCCTACAGATTAATGTGATTAATTGTTACTTAAATGTTGGCTATTTTACATTTCATGCATTTAATTATAGGTTAACTAGGCCTTATTGTGTAATGCTTTCTGTTTATGAAAATCAAACAGCATGTCAAATGAATACACTCAGACAAATGCATGAATATACCATGTTATTGTTAAGTTTGAATTGTCAGTCCTAGGAGTCATACCTGACCTGGTGAGCCCCACATAGCAGAAGACATGTATTTATTGCCTTGTGGGAGTTTTTCAGAAAAGTTTTTCAGCTCTTCAGACTTAGCCTATTTGAATGTTCTTCAGCCCTTGTTGCTGTGATTTGCTTTTCTCATACAGGCTACTTGACAATGTTCATGAGTAAGATCTAGTTTGTCACCTTACCAATGTTCATACAGTTTAAAATAAGATTAAGCTTTAAACTCAAACACACCACAAGATGTCCCTCTTCCAAAATCTTTCTCTAGATGTGTGTATGGTTCTTTTTGTGTGATTATTTATTTATTTATTTATTTATTTTAACTCCATATTAACTCCTCTTACCTGCTTGTCTCCAAGGAAAGATGAAGATCTAGCGCATTTTTTCCTGTATTTCCGAGAGCAATAAAACACAGCTGTGAAACATGCAGGCAAGAACAAAGCAATAACATCTTTAAGTTTAGCTTGGTAGGCTATAGTCCAGCTGTAAGTTAATTGGAACAACAACAACAACAACAAATGTTGAATATGGATAGACCCAGCTCTTTTTCCACAGACTTAATAAAATCATTCAGTCTTTATTAATATAGATTATGAACATGAAATGATCGACTATTTTCATTTCACTTTTTTTTTTTCATTTTTATTTATTTATTTATTATTTTTTATTATTACTTTTTTTTTTTTTTTTTTTTTCAGAACTGTACGTCGCTCCGTCACGTCTGTTCCTGTGTCACGTGATCTCAGGAAACAAACATGGCTCCGCGAAAGTGAGGGACTGATCCGCGAGTGAGTTTTAACTAACTATTTACACTTTACAAGGATGTCTGCCCATTAATAAGTACCTGACATATAAAAAACAACAATAGACCGCTTTATTTACCCAGTTACTAAGCACAAGTCTTTATAAAAACGCTCTTTAAGGACTAAATTGCGGTCTGTTTCCATGTCAACCAAGTTTGGATAGCTTGACTCCCGGGTATTCAGATACACAAACTCAAACTTATAACAGTTAGGACTTCACACAAGTTTTATTCACTATTTAAACTGCGATATTTATTTGTTTTTTTAATCTCAAACTTGTGACTTAAACATGTTTTGTTTTATAGGGTTGGCTGTTATACAAATGAGAGGAGGAAGAGCGTGAGCACGTGAGTATCTTAAAAGTTAACGCTAATTTGTTATGTCCGTAAAGTGTAGTTAATTAACGTTATTCGGTGCACCTTGTCCATCTAAAGCCCAAACACAGACTTTCTTTGCTTAAAATTAATTTGTGTATAACTTTGCATAAGCCTCAGCTGTAGGATGGAGCTCTAGAGACTTAATCTTAGACTTAATAAAAAAGAGTACAAATATAAATGTAATAATAAATTCTAAATGAGTTGCAAAAAAGACAGCAAGAGACAAGTGTCAAAGTCAAAATAAAATAGAAACATAAGTATTAAAATATAAAGTCTCAGCTATATACAAGAGGGCATAGGAAGACAAAAGGGTGAGTTGTTGTACATCTGTATGGTGTATGATATGAATGTAGTCCTGTGGCTCTCACTTTTTGAGCGGAGCTTTAGGAGCCGGTTGGGGAATGAGCTCCTCTGTCCCTCTATCGTCCGGTGCAGTGGGTGAGCAGGAGTGTCCACGCTGGAGAACAGTTTGTCCATGTTAAATTGCAGTTTGGTTTAGCTTTGATTTGTTTTGTTGATTTGCAAACTACCTGTTAAAGCAAGTTTAACGTTTGCCAAACATAGCTACTCTTCTAGTTTGTGTTTGTTTCCTCTCTTCTGTTCTGCTCTGCTCCATCTGACCGTAAGCTACATCTGCATTCTCTGCTCCGTCTGACCCTCTCCTCTGCTCCGTCTGACCCTCTCCTGTGCTCCTCTGCTCCATCTGACCCTTTCCTCTGCGCCGTCTGACCCTCTCCTCTGCTCCACTGCTCCGTCTGACCCTTTCCTCTGCTCCTCTGCTCCATCTGACCCTCTCCTCTGCGCCATCTGACCCTCTCCTCTGCTCCTCTGCTCCGTCTGACCCTCTCCTCTGCTCCGTCTGACCCTCTCCTCTGCTCCGTCTGACCCTCTCCTCTGCTCCTCTGCTCCGTCTGACCCTCTCCTCTGCTCCTCTGCTCTGTCTGACCCTTTCCTCTGCTCCTCTGCTTCATCTGACCCTTTCCTCTACTCCATCTGCCTTTCTCCTTTGCTGTCTCTGTTTTCACACAAACTAACTTAAAAATTATGAGTTCACTCTGAGAATAGTTTCAATCCACAGTCTTAAATGATAGAGCTGCATTAAACGCTTTGCAATCTGCTTTGGAAAAATGATGTCTCTTGGCGAATATCATTTCTCCACAATATAAATTTCTGTCACAAACCCTTGAATCTAACCATGTTTCTTGATAATTAATAGACTTAGTACCCAGCACATTTTTGAAATATGATTTTTTTAAGGAGTACTTTTCTTTTCAGTTAGAATGAATGAGTAATTCTGATCTATTGTTTCTCTTGTGTGTTTATAGGATTTCTTCAGAAGCAGCACCACGATGCCTTTGAGGAAACGGATTAACAGAGAAAATGCTGGAGTTTTGGGTGAAAGTCAACAACGAGGAGCGAGTGACACTCAGGAAGATGATGTAATTACTTTTCAATCTTTAATCAACCACCTCTTTCTCTGAACATTGTTCAATCAGAGACACAGAGGAGCTACTGTTTTTTTTTAAAGATTATGCTAACTTTTTGGTTGGGGGTCATTGCTTTGCCTGGAGTGTTCCACATTAAACAGCTCTATGTTACATTTATTCAATTACAGATGTTTTATAACGCAAAAATACCTAGAGAAATAGGCATTCTGACTGTGAGCAGGGTCACCTCACCACAGCACTGACCTGTAGCCTGGTGTAGTTTAGTCTCCATGAAAACAGATATTATGAAACATTCCAGACAAAGCAATAGCATCTCCATGAAGAAAAGCGTTTGACGGACACTCCACCATAAAAGATACACAGTTCACCTTTCAATGTTATTACAATGCCTGGAATGTTCCACAATATGGTGTGAACTCATCTGTCTGGAGATAAACATTTTATGACATTTTGTGGAACATTCCAGGGAAGAGTAAAATCTCCTTGGAGAACAGAAGACTTCAGACCCTCTATCTAAAATATGACATAGTGCGCCTTAAATATATTTTTATAATGATGAATATAGAACATTTACATCAAATGAAGTATTCGATTTGATTCCAGTGGGCATTATCACACGTCAGCACAGTGCTTTCTAATGGAAGGACTTTGTTTTGGCTTTTTAAGGATGAAGTGCAATGCCCAGCAGCTGCAGCGAGGGAAATGCGAAGAAGGGAGAGGCAACTCATGTCAAAGCCCAAAGGTGAATCAGTTTACAAATATCAAGCGCAGTTAACTATGGATTTTACTAAACTGTAATTAACCAAAATCTCATATCTTCTATCTGCCACTGACTAATATTCTTAAATGCACTTTGACTTTAAACCAGTGTATTAAAGCCATAGACTGTATAAAGAAGTGGATTAAGTGAGTGTAACGTCACCCACAATGTTTGGTTTCAGTCAAATGAAGCTCGCTGAGGCTTGCAGTTATATGGGGTGATTTTCCATATTAGGAATAGGAAATAATTTACAGAAAAATGATGAACCTGACAGCAGCAGTTTACGAAGTGTGTTGTGGTGTGTTTGTGCAGAGATGACGGAGGAGGAGATGATGGACCTGGCTCTGCGTCTGAGTGAACAGGAGGCAAACATCAGAGCGCAGAGGATTCAGGAGGAAGATGCCGCAGTGAAGAAGGCCATCCAGGACAGTGTGAGCAAACTATGGACTTTTATATAATGAGTTTTTATTTGTTTCATTCATTTAAGATGAATATAAAATAATTATGTTTCATGCACCAATGTGAATGAAAAGAAGCAGAAAGAAGTATAGACTTGTAATATTTGCCCTCTTTTCACACACACAAAAAAACATTAGCAGTTTCAACTCAATGTAAAATCTGTAGCAGTTATACTTATTATTAACACAGAACTTAATTTGCTATCTCGTATTCTTTAGCATATTGTATTTGATCTTTCTTTTAAACACTTGAATAGATCTTGAAGCTTTGATTTTTTTTTTTCATTTAGGCTGTTCCACAGACACCTTTGATTGAAACACACTTTTCCATTGTTGTCGTTCTAAATAAGAATACTGCGTAGTAGTGTACAAAGGAAAAACAACATGACAATCAGCTTGATGATACATGATTTATAGCCCTATTATGATAATTACAATATCAACTTAGTAGTATACCTATAGTATACATTATTTTAGTGTACAGTTTCTTTGCAATAGTGGGGATTTTTAGCCTTTTTTTGTACTGTGATGAGATTTGAGCTGGAGGAGGTAGAATTAACTTCTCTAATTATTGATTCATTCTGCTAATTAATTGTTCAGCTCTTTTAATGATGCTGTCTATTTAAAAGTTGGTTTACTGAGATTATTGCTTTGGATCAGTGGTAGTTTCAGTATTATTGTTTATCAGAATATGTCTTTGTAGTAATATATTGTGCTTTAATTATGTGCTTTATTTGTTATTGTGACAGGCCTAGACTTTTATATAAAGCGATACATGATGTTTAATGAGACGACCTCTGTGGTAACTGCACTAAAACCTCCATGTGGTCTTGTCCTCAGATGATCAGTGAGTCTCAGAGCCTGATAGATGATGCTCCTGTCTGCGCTGCCCCTCGGCGTAAACTGGTTTATTCAAACGGAAACTCACAGCCAGAGACCACAGACAGCAGCACTCAAGAGGGGAGAGGTCAAAGGGCAACTGGTCACATGTCCAGGACCAGGAAACGCAGGCGAGCAGTGGGCAGTCCTCTGATGGAGATGCCCGATCTGTCCCAAACACAGCCCTCTCCCAGCAGCCCAGAGTCCGTGCCTCTAGGGTCTCCTCAGGTGTGTTTAACAAGTCTTTCTGGAAAAAAAAGTGGAACTCTGAAAATGTACTGTGCCATTATTAAGTGTAACACCATCCTGCCTATTTTAGGTCTATTTCCTTTTTATTTTGGTGTGACTTATGTGGTTTGGTTCCTGAGCTGATGCTGGTCTTTGTGTGTCTCTCGTCCCAGAGTTGTGACTCCACTCAGATCGAAGACTGTGAACTCCCCAAATCTCCGGTCTTCCCCTCGTCCTCTTCAGGTCTGCTCCGAGTCCAGGCCATGGTCCACGTCCCCAAACTGGACCAGAACCTGCTGGACGCCTGCACTGCTTCAGGCTTTGTCCTCTGCTCTCAGGACAGCAGCTTGCCCTCCCAGAACTTCCACTCCCATCAACTCACACGGAGCCCCACCTTCCACAAAAGCCCCGGCCTCTGTTCCACTAACCCCACACCCAAATCCACAAATACGCATCCACAAACCGAGATTGTAGATTTGGACGATGACACACCACCTGCTCCAAGCTCTCCACCGTGTAAAAGTCCCGTTTTGGGGCAAACAGACTTGAAAAGTGCCTTAAAATCAGAAACGAGTGAAGCTACAGCCCTCGTATTCTCTTCTCAGGGAAGTTCTTTGTCATTTATTTCAGAAAAAGATGTCAGTTTGATCAAAAGTCCAGTGTTTTCAAAGACACAGCGAGGACGGGAGAGAGAGGAGGAGAGCGGGTGTAAAAGTCCAGTGTTTGGGACAAATAAACTGAGAGAAAAGGCTTCTGAAGATGAAGCTGAAGATACAAATGCAGAAGAGAGACAGGACACGCTGAATCTGTCTGAGAGGGAGCCCACCTGTGACATGACGCTGCACTGGTCTGATGAGGACGAGGACAACGCCATGGTAAGGCCAAACATTGTGGCAGAGTGGTTAGTCTCCCCCTCTGTCTGATCTATGCGATGAAATTTAATCCTGATCTATAAATGCCCAGTTAACAAGCTGCTCTGTCTACAGCCTGTGGTCTCCCCAAGTCCAGTGTTTCCAGAAGAAAAATGTGAGAGCCACCAAACTGAGAGGGAAGCCGAGGAATCTGCTCCAACACAAAATGACAGCAGGTAAATCTAAATTCAGTCTCACACTTACATCTGCTTTTACAATCGCTGGAAATGTATCGTGTGTCAGTAATATTGTCAGCTTTTACAAGATCAAATTATAAACATCTGGGTGTTTTGAGTGTTCTGATTTGAGCACAGTTTTGTCCATATGTAGACTTGGATTGGTCCTGCTCTAGTCTTGCTCTAGTCCTGGTTTAGCTCAGTCTAGGCTAGGTTTAGTTCTGGGTTTAGTCCCATTTAAGTCTCAGTTCTGATGTGTGAAGGTGAGTTTACATCGTATTATATTTCAGTGGTCTTACTTAGTTAGTTAGAATATTTGTTTTAAACCTGCACATATAATTCACATAACAACATAACAATACAGAGATATAAACATGCGTGGTTTGAACATTGCGGAAAACTGGAAACTATTGCTGCTTAAGGGCACGCAAAAGAATATCTTCAATGTTGTGATACAAATATAATCCTGTACCGTGAGCTCCACCTCTTTTTCCATCTTTGTCTGTCTCTTTGTTGTTTCCCAGAGCTGCTGGTGCTCGTTCTCAGTCTGCTACCCTGTCTCAGTCTGCTGTCCCCGGTGTCTCTGGAGGCTCCACAGGCCAGGACACGGTGCATTATTACTGGGGAGTGCCCTTCTGCCCCCGAGGCCTGGACCCCAACCTCTACACCAAGGCACTGACAAGAATTCTCTCATTAGAAATACACCACGAGCTAAATGTTTGAACACACACTCTCATTCAGTGTTTTTTGTATAAGTTTATGACATTTTATGCACATGACATCAAATGTATGAAGTAAGATATATGTAATTATTTTGTAAGGAAAGGTTCAATAACTATAAATATTTGTCAACAAAGCAAAGGGTGGCTACTTTGAGGATTTGGTTATACTTCTTTTTTCACTTTTAGTGAACTTACTTACTTCATAATTCCATATATCTTGCTTCATATGTTTGATGTCTTCTGTGTGTATATAAAATGTAGAAAGTAGTAAAAATATAGAAAATAAAACTTTGAATGAGATGGTCCGTCCAAACTTTTGAATGGTAGTGTAACTGTGTAGTAATGTAACTATGTTAGTACAACAGATCCATCAAATAAGAGCCTATGATGTCTGTATTAACCTTGGTCCCCAGTGTCCGCACTAATGATTTTCTTGTGACAGGTGATCGTGGCCCAGATGGAGGTGTATGAGAAGAGTCTGAAGCAGGCTCAGAGGGGTCTGCTCCACAAACTGGAGTGGGGAGGGCCTGTACTGCCACAACCTGAGGTACAACCCAGTCCTACAGCTAAACCAAGGACTAAACCAGGGACTAAACCTTGAACTAGGTCAGAAGTGAGACTCTGAAGGAGCACTTTAATTAAAGACCAAAGCCTCAGAAAGTTGTTGTTTCATTTTTTCCCAAAGTTTTGTAGCTTTAGCTGCAGAGTGACGTTTACCTTGCTCAGAAAGATGGATTCCCCCCATATTTGTGTAGAACTCAGTTCAGAGTGACACACATATCAGTCCGGCATGAGCCAGGTTAGAGTGTCATGTGACTGACTCAAAGTAGTGTCTCATTTTTGTTGGAGCTTTCATGTGTATTCAGAGATCACTCCAGATATTTCTATAGGATTTCTCAAGGATTTCAAGCAAAACACAAAAAGAAGCAGGTAGAGTTTATGGAAAGGAAAATTTTACCAAAAAAGGCAAAATCTCATGTAAAAAATGTAACCCTGAAGTTTATTTAAATCTTGGTTTTTAAAATGTATCTTTATATTTATTAAGAATATGGTAAATTTTTGTTCCAGAAATCCCCCTCACCTGAACCTAATTCACCTCAGATTCATCTCCCCACAAGGTAAGGCTCATAATGCAAATGACAATGGCACATTTTAAACCATAGGTGGCAGAAGTGTGCTTTTGTTTCTTGTGTAAATGAGTTTCTTTAATCCAATATATACTATTGATACTTTGCAGTAACATCACACTGGGGGTGTTCTACATGTATATCTATGGTGGAATGTTTGTGATGTTACCATGGTGACATAATGCACACATTTACAAACACAAGCAAAAAGTTTTAAGATTGTCTGAAAGCTCAAGAAAAAATAATAAATTGATATGAACAAGGTGTTTAGGTTTTGTTGTAGTTCCAACCAAGTCTTCTTATCTGGTCAGATTGTGTTAAAATAAAACTCAGATTAAAGTCTAACTTGAGAAACAGTAGTGCTTCCAGGAAATGTTGATGACGTTAGCTGCAAAGTATCTCTGAGTCTATTGTACACAATTACAGAACCCATTTTGTTTCCATCTTGTTTGTGAAAGGTAACAGATGATTGTTTTTTATCACTAAAACTGTGTAAGAGTGTTTGTGATTTCAGACGCTCTCGGAGACAGAAAGGCAAACTAAAGGAGCACGAATCCAACGATGAGCTGGAGGAGGTGGGGGAGGAAACAGAGAGTCAGAGGGAGGAAGAGGAGGAGGAGGGAGAGGAGGAGGGAGACAAGAGCGCTGGTGAGGAGAGGGAGAAGGAGACCAGGATTAAGGAGACAGAAGAGGAAGAGCCGAATGAGAAGCAAGCACTTTTTCATCTGAAAGACGACGAGACACAGGTGGAGTCGGACTGTGAGGTTTGTCCAGGTAAATGAAATAAAATAAACCCAACCAAGAGCAAAAGTCAATTTCTGTATGTTTAGGACAGAAATGAGACAGACACATGCAGGCCTGTCACTATCAATATTTATCTTGAGTACTTTTTCTTTGTACTAGACAGGAACTTTTTGTTACTTTTATGTACTACAATCTGAATTAGGGTATAGAGAGTTGAATAAATAACTCCTATTACTGAGTTTTTATGATATTGTACATTCAGAATAGTTTTTGGGGATATTTTACTTTAGGGTTCTTGTGTCAGTGGCATAAATTAATTTCAGTATTTTGTTAATCTTCTATTTCATTCACCAATTTATTGTACTTAAAATTCACATCATGAGAGGCCTAGACACAGATCAATAAAAAAAAAAAATCACAAATGTTGAACTTTGATATTTATGCATGGCAAGGTCCATTATCGCACTATGTCTAATACAGGTCAGCCTCTGTTGTTATAGGATTGATTGGCAGGTGGTTTTAACCAATCACAGTGAAGTGTGAGCAATTTGAAATGATTAAATTACCAGTTGCCGTTACATCTCTTGTGGACTGGTTTAATAGAGCTGCATTACATTATATTTACATTTTAGAGGGCATTTTAGCATATTACTAATATTATGGCAATAAATTCTACTTTGTAATATTATATTCCACAGAAACTCAGCTCAGTGACAATGACCTCACTCAGGAGCTGACTTTGCCTTCTCAGGTGACCTTTAATCTTACAGTTAAAGGTGCATTGTGGAACTTTTCTGGTACAGGGTCTCGCTATCTTCACGGACACCAAAACAGACGACGTTACGGGGTCAGAGTGTGCAGAGGTGACCCTGCTCATAGTCAGAACGCCTGCTTTTCTAAATATTTTTCAGCAATAAAATCACTGTAACTGAATAAATGTAAGGTAGAGCTGTTTAATGTCACACTGTGGAATATTTGAGGCAGAGCAAAGACATCTCGTGACAGACCCTCCAACAGAAAAGTTACACAGTGCACCTTTAAAACAATGTGTTGTGTTTTTAGCTTTGAGTTTGTAATCATCCTAACACTTCATTGTCTTAGCCTGCGGCCGTCAGCCCTGAGATTGAAACGGTCCAAGTGGATTCTCCAATTGTGGTAGAACAAGCGGAGCACGAGGAATCAATGGAGACGGGTCCAGAGTCACAAGAGGGTAAAATCTGCATTTTTAAAGGTCCTAAATTAACCAAAATTGACTCTTGTGAGCTTTAAGACAGGTTATGAAATTGTTACCTGCTCAAGAACAGACCTGGAGGTGTGTTTTGTTTTATTCACACATGTTTGAGTAACATGTGTTTTCCATCTGAGAGAAGAACCCGACCTAAATGCGCAGAGTTTGTGTATTAAACATGTGTGAATGAAACAAAATGTACCCAGACCCAGAATTATTTTGTTCACTGTCCTGAAAAAGATGATTATTCTGAGCTGAGTGAGTGTTGTTTTAGGACCAAAAGAATCACCAGAGCAGCTCCACTTCAAACCTGCAGACGTGGATTTGGACCGTCCCTCTTGTGACTCTCAGTCCAGAGAGGAACCAGGACCACAGAGATCCGAGTCCCCAGACCTGGACTCAGACCTGGCCCCTGGTCCAGAGGGTCCGGTCCAGTGCCCCATCTGCCAGCGAGCCTTCCCCTCGGACCAGATCGAGATGCACGCTGCCTTCTGCGATGGAGAGCCTTCAGTGGAGGACCGAGGTGAGACTCTACTAATGATACTTTGCTGGGGGTGTACTACATGTATCTCTATAGTTGAATGTTTAGGAGTTACCATGGTCACACAAGGCACAAATTGATCCAAAAGGTTTTAAGATTGTCAGAAAACTCATGGAAAAACACAAAATTTTAGTTTTAAACAGCACATTTTCTACGGCCTGTGATTAATTTAACGCTCGTCCTGTTTAGGAGTTTGATTTTCAACAATAACGGTGAGTACGAATAACTGTAAAACTGTTGGCTAATGACTGTAATTTTATGTGTGAGAGACTTTTTTAACAGCACAAATCAGCTCACCTTTTTATTTCTAGCTAAATCAGTTTTTCATAGTCAGATTGTCTTAAAATAAAGCTCAATTTAAAGTCTAAGACAGAGCAGAACCTGAAGTTAGTGTCACAAGCCCAGGGAATGTTGACATCAGCTGCAAAGTATCATTAATTTTGTTCACCACGTCACAAAGTAGAAAAAGGAAACGTGGAAGAATAAACTGGAAAAGCTTTTATCAGCGAGGCTCTCAAGTTCAAATATTTTACTTTTTACACACATTACTCTTACATGTCTAAAGTCTGAATCATATGTAGGGCAAGTGGGCAATCAAAAATGAAAGATGGCAGCCCTGTTTACTACTTGTAACACGACTACTTATGCCACTACTATTATTACCTACTGCGCGCTACTACTGAAATTTCTTCTGCCGCTAATATTGCTACTGCATTGCTACTACTGTGTACCTCAACAAATTTTCTACTACTACTGCACTCTCTCCACCTGAGCCAAGTTTACAATACTATTAGTGCTACTACAATTACTTATTCAACCCTGGAAATGGTAATGCTGCTGCTGTTACTAGAATTACCACAACTGTCTTATTACATTGAGTTTTCCTGACATCTAGTGGTGAAGTTGAACTGCACTTCCAAATCCACTTTTAGTTTTCGTTCTGCACTCTTCTCTCTCATTTAATGCCTCTCTCTCTTCTTAAATTTATGATGATTATTTATGTATTGATCTGTTTTTATTGTGATTTTAATCTGTTTCTTATTCTGTAAAGCATTTTGAATTACTTTGTACTTTTATGAATTTTACAAATAAACTTGCCTCGACTTGCCTACTTAAAGCTTTAAACTCGCTTGTAATTAACTGTTTCTCTAAACTTTCTAGCGTCACTGAAACTGAGGAGGAAAAGGACGAGACGAGGAGAAGCAGAGGACTCAGATGACACAGAGTATGTCACTATTACTATTACTGATTAGGGGTGTGCAAAAATATTGAAATATCGATATATCGTATCGCTTAATCTGATGATACAGTATCGATACCGTGGGCTGCTGTATCGATATATCACCTAGAGTATTTTTTTGGTATATTTTACTTGATTATTCTGTTACGGCGATACAGTTTTGTTGCTTGTTTAGTTGAAGAAAACTCGTTTATGTGACAGATTTGACATTTTCACTGAGTAAAATGGGTGTATTTCATATGAACTTTGCACAAGAAGTGGTTTAACAAAGACTTTTAGTGTCACAGTCATGATTTTGCCATTGTTTTTATTTAACCGTACTAAAAACGAATTGAAATGTATCGTATTGAATCGAAACTCACTGATCGAGGTATGTATTGTATCGGCGACTTCTTAATGATACCCAGCCCTAGTACTGATGCACCCCTCCCACTTGAGGTTGATGTCATACACAGAACCTTTGACACACTGTGGACCTGAGTTCTCCTGACAGTCTCTCGCTTTATGTTTATAGTCCTGGTATAGTTTTTGTTTAAGCCTTATTTTATCTTGATTTAGTTTAGTTGTTGAACATCGTGAGTTCATTATGGGTCTTTGTTTGCCAGTTGGTGAAGTTTTTCCAAATTTTGCATTGAAGGTTGCAAAGTCTTGGGTCTTGGGTGAATGTGCGAGCAGATTCCAAGACGCAAAATGACTTCTCTTTGGGAGTGAACGGCATGGCTCAACCTAAAAACAGAACAAAAATAAAACATTAAATATAAAATCTTAATCTGTTTTCTAACATTCTGTGAAATGCCAAAATTACTGGCATGCATAATGATGTCAAATGTTTTGGGACACCTTGTATTTAGGTGTAGACTGGGTTTGTGCTGGTTCTAGTTTATGTTTTATCTTTTTGTTAACCCTGTTCAAGAGTGCATTCACATTTCATGGTCTAGTTCTGGTTGGGGGTCAGTTTTGCTCTGATCTAGGCTGTCATCATCATTTTAAAGACGGGGTATAATGCTAAATTGACTTTTTGGAGCTTTCTACCACATTTTAATGTTGTTTCCTCATCAAAAAACATGCCTGAAGACGTTGTATGTGTTATTCATGCATATTTGAGCAATCTAGTGATGTCTCCTGGGCCCTATTTGAACCCTCCTTACTTTTCACAGTACATACCTCACACACTCACATTTCTACATCTCCTATGCTCCCACACAGCAATTTTTTATTCATTTTTCATTAGCAGGATGCAAGCTGATTGTGTTGCGAGAAGGCTCTGAACGGGGTGTGACTTGTTTGGGGAGCAAGAGAAGCTTCTAAAATGAAATTGAAACTTATTAAAGGGTCTATGTATGTTATCCTGTTTTCTGACCTATGTTATAATGTTGTTTCCTCATCACACACAGACCTGTAGTTGTGTTTTGTTTCATTCACACATGTTTAACACACAAACTCTATATACTTCTCTTAAATGGAAAGCACTTTGTTCCACTTTGTGATGTCATGGGGTTATACAGGAAGTGCTCCACTGTGTTTTTAAACTCTATACATCTTCAATAGAATCATTTGGATGATTTCAGCCCTGAAATTACCAATCTCTACTGAATTAAAGGTAAAAGGATCTGTTAACTTGAAAACTACAGCTTCATGACATCACAAGGTAGAACAGAGCATTTTCAGGTTTACAAATGTAGACAGACTAATAATAAAGTGTTACTCAAACATGTGTGAATGAAACAAAACATGAGTCCAGGTCTGTTTTTGATGAGGTAACAACATTATAACATGGTTTCAACTTAACGAGAGTCAAATTTACGCAATATAGGATCTTTAAACATTTTCAAACATTCAAAACGATGTTGCTGATTGCTCACTTAATCGCATCTTGTGTCTCTCCAGGCCCAGTGGAGCTCAGGAGAAGTGCTATGTGTGTGGCAGGGCGATCCCCATCCGAGAGTACAGCCTTCACACAGAGATGTGCTTCCAGCGCAGACCGCCCCGAGCAGCAGCTGTAAGGACCACAGTCTGACTCTCACTGCAGCAGCTCACATCTACACTACATCTACACCATGATGTTCAGGAATGAGCCGAACTTTGCAACGCTTCCTTAAAGCTGCATTGTGTAACTTTTCTGGTGGAGGGTTCGTCAAATGCTTTTCTCCATGAAGATGTTATTGTATTAGCTAGAACAAGGGTCTCCAACCTTTTTCTTCTGGTGAGCTACCTTCATGAAACAAAAATGACAGAGAGCTACTCATTTTAGCGGTCGCAAGAAATTGAGAAAGTAGAAGAGTTATGGCCTATTAACCATTATCCATTTACTGGTGCATAAGTTTGGCATCAAAATGATAAATTTACAATGGTAATTAATCAGATTTTAGTTTTTAAGCGCGTTACATATAATTCAGAAATTCTTTGGCGAGCTACTTGGAAGTGAGTGGAGAGCTGCTTGGTACCTTCCGAGCTATATGTTGGAGATCCTTGGTCTAGAATGTTCCATGGTAGAGATTAAAGTTATCTATATGAAAGAAGACATATACAGGTCAGATCTGTGGAGAGGTTCACAGAGAGAATTACTTTGTTTTTGAGCAACAGAAACCCCCGTTAGGAATAAATCCAAGATACGATGATAGATGTGTATAATGTCATGCCACGGAACATTCCAGGGAAAGCTATGACATCTCCAGGGAGACAAGCTGGCGATGGATAGCCAGATTGGTACCACCTAGTGACGACTCTCAATTTAATGTCTCTTCAGCAGCAACGTCAGGAGTCAAAATACACTAGACGCTTTGCAAAAACTCCAGAAGTTCAAGTTCGGGCACCAGCCAATCAGCGAAGAGTCATATATTCATTGTTGTCAACGAGTCCCGAGATCGAGGATTTAAAGCTGGAATAAAGAGAATGTTTGGTGAATTTTATCAAGGGGAAAGATGTTATTGCCCTTCTTCCTACGGGATTTGGAAAAAGCTTAATATACCAGTTAGCCCCGTTAGCGGCGCATTTCATACGTCACGACCAAATAGCAGTGATTGATTAAATGATAAAAAGTACTTGCCTACTGTCGAACGAATAAACCCTAATGCTGCAAGGTCAGACGGTTTCCACGAAGTGAAATCAGCTGATGAATTAGGCTAGGTGATGGACCCTCCACCAGAAAAGTTGCATAATACACCTTTAACGTGAATGGAAGGGAACCAGATCTTATTTGTTTAGATTTTTTTTTTCTTTCAAATTTGTATGCATTTTTATTCTGATTAACGCTGAACAAACACAGAAAATTTGGAATAAAAATAAAATAACATTTGTTAAAGTTGAAACTACCAGGGTTTAAATACCTACCGAAGATTGAACCCAGACTAAAACTGAAACCAAATAATGACTAAACCTGGGACTTAACCAGAACTAATAATCCATAACACTTGTCTGTTGACTAAACTAGTTAATACATCAGACCGAGGACTAAAATAGATCTGTGGTATTTACAGTCAGAGGGTCTGGGTTGTGTAATTCATTAATTTACATTTTAAAAGATTTTCTGTTTAGTTGTAGGTACTACACTTGGTATTTTAAAATTGCTTTGTGGTTGTATGAATCTTGGAGTTAGTGTGTTGGTTTGCCCGTGTTACAGACTGGAGGACTGCTGTCGGCTTTGGACCAATCAGAACACAAAGATTCAGGTATCTATATTTACATCTAAACGTATTTATTCAACCATTAAGGCGAGATTGTTGATAATTAAAAGAACTTAAAGCCACACGGTATGGTAAGTTTGTGGACTCAATCTCTCAACAATAACAGCGAAACCCTGCCCCTTATCTGAAATATGATATCATCAAATTATAGAACATGAATGCAGCCTGTTCAGTTCATACTTTGCACCTCATGAAAATTCCCTGGGAGTGTGACACTGTAGACACTGCTCCGTCTGAAGCTGACAGTCTGACCACAAAGAGCTCACGATGGAACTACAACAGATTAGCTGATTTGTGCTGTTAAAAAAAGTCTCAGACACAGAAAATTAGTTTTTCAGGTTGTCACTTTCACCTTTTTGTTGAAATTCAAACTCCCAAACAGGACCATGAACTCTCGCGTCAATCACAGGCTACTGAAAATCCATTGTTACAGTCACTTTTGCATTTTTTTCCCTTTAGTTTTCAGACAATCTTACATCTGTTTTAGCTGTGTTTGCTAATGTGTACGCTGTGTCATCATGGATAAGCATTTCGCCTTAGACATACATGTAGAACACTCCCTGCGTGACGTCACTGCAAAGTGTCAATTTCTGATGTGTACATTAGAATACAAAATTGTTAGTGTGTATTTGGTCTGACTCCTCCAGCATGTTGACCAAATGGACTCTTAAGTTGTATTTTGTTTGCTGTGTAAATATTTGACTTTGTTGTTTGTGTTGTTCTTGTGTTGACAGAGGCTGGACCTTCTGGATTCAATGTGCAGCCACAGTAAGGCTTTTCTATTGGTCGTTTTCAGATTCTAAAATGTAGGAGTGTAACAGGACACAAAAAATTATGGTTCAGTACGTACCTCGGTTTTGAGGCCACAGTTTGGTTCATGATCGGTCCAGAATGGGAACAAAATACAAGACCATTTGCTTGTTGTTTATTTACGTTGTTGTTGTTGTTTACATTTGTGTGTTTATTAAACCAACATTTTATTTTAACATTAAATAAACGAGAAAATTAAATAAATGCTGATTGGTAATAGTAATAAATTAAATAAAATATTCTCAAATAAGCAACAAATGTTTGAAATATTATAAAAAGTAAATTCTTTGTAAACAGTAAACAAAACAGTTCCGTTCCGAAGTTTTACTCAATCTTCGTATTTTGGGGGTGGAGATTCCTTGCAGGCGAAAGTGAGGACTGCGTGACGGCCGCAGTTTTCCGAGGATTCACATGGTTCAGAGTCAAGCCGGAGGGCAATTGTTGTGAAGGTGGCCACTCTAACTATAAAGCACGACGGGAAACACTGCCACCCCAGTCAGTGAATATTAAAGAGCCGAGCCTTCCGTGTAGCTGCACATGTAGTGGCGTAATGTTAAACACACACAAATTGCGCGAAATCACTCATGTACAGCCCTGCACGAAACCGAATGTCCCACACCGAAACAGTTCGGCATCAATACATGTACCGTTACACCCCTAATAAAATGTGAAGATGTCCCAGATGGGGAGGCAAGGGCCAGACTTTCCTACTGATTCCATTGTACTTTGTCATGAAATATTCAAAAGGTAAACTCACAAATGTTGGTGTTTTCAATTAGTGACAAAACCCAAGAACTCACTGTATTATTTACAACATAATTTTACATTTTAATAATTTAAATTTGAGCTGCCCCTTAGCAATTCAGATACAGTATTAAAAAACGTGAGGTAGGGATGTTAAAACAGAAATCGATACCCAGTCGATATTAAAACTAGAGACTCATTTGAACAAGTTTTGATTCTGAAAAAAGAAAAAAAAAAATCACATCAATGGGCCAAAAAAAATAACCTTTACTGAATACTTTTAGAATAGTCTTCATTGATATCAGAACTAGATATCACATGGTAACACTAAAGAAACTATAATTATTTTGTTCTTAAAAAGGCGTGTCTTACCATCATTGCGGATCAAAGTTGTTATCAAGCCTTATCATAAGTATCTAATTCAACTTTTAACCTGTAATTGTGACAACACATCCTCCCATCTTGCCTCAGAGCTGTATTTTGAGCGATTCATGCTCCAGTAATAGATCTGTACAAATATTCAGAGTTGTTCATTCAGTTGTCATTTCTCATAAATTCTAATTTAGTTCTGCAATTTTGGTCCAGAAATCGACAGGGAAGTAAAAATAACAGAAATTGTGATATCATATTGTCAAAAGTCTCACAATAATATTATGGGCCATCACAGCATCTCGAATTACAAGTCTCTTTGTGGGAGGGAACTACATAGACCATGATCCTTTGCTGTTTTACTGCAGATTACATGAAGACGTAACTCCACATTTAAAGCTTTGTATTGGAACAGTACCAAAGGCTTGTCAAGACATTTTATAATGTAAAAGTAGCAAATTCACAGTTTTTTCTAGGTATTTTTGAGCTTGAGTATTCACACAGTATACACAGAAACAAGCAGGTAACAGATGCCAGAAAAGCCAGAAAAGTTACACAGTGCATCTTTAATTGTATTTATCAGAGGTGTGGACCTGCAAGTTGTGACTTGGACTCGAGTCACTATTTTTTGGGACTTGAGACTTGACTTGATAAAACTGACTAAGACTTGGGAGTCAACTTGGTCTTGAAGGTCAGTGACTTGAGACATGACTCGGACTTGAGTCCTGTGACTTGAGAAGCACTTTTAAATCTGAATTCTTTCTATTCTAACTGCAGTGATTCACACTAAGATCTTGTCAAGACATTTAAAAATGAAAAATTAACTAAATTAATGTCTACAACTCTTAAATTTTTTCTACAACTACAATAATTTCTACAACTCTAAATTTACTATGATTTTTTTAAGTACATTTTATCTTAAAATTCATATAAATTGCAAAAATCTAGGTACTTTGGTTTAAAGACTTGAAATGACTTGAAGCTCAAAGCAGACGACTTGGACTTGACTTGGGCTTATGGGCTAGTGACTAGAGCCCGACCGATATGGATTTTGTTGTGACCGATATGAAACCGATATAATGGGAGTTGGCGCTGCCGATATAATCGCCGATATATTTAGTGATGTAAAAATTCACTGTAAATCTTGAATTGATTAAAAAAACTTAGGTTTGGCTCTAGTGGATTCTAAATTGGGTTTATTTAGGCAACATTTATTGTTATTTTGACTCTTTACATCATATTTACATACAGTAGGTCGGCCTAATGGCATTTTTGCATCACATTCTAGCTACTGTTACTGTCACTGCTAGTGATGGGTATTCCAGTTTGTTTGTTTTTTTTTTTTGGAGAACCGGCTCGGCTCACTAAAGCAACTGGCTCTTTCGGCTCCCAAGCGACTCTTGAGATGGTTTTGTTGCAAGCAGGACTAAACCAGAACTGAGCCAGGACTGAGTGTCGGGACTCGGTTTCTATCTCTCTCCTTCACTCAAGCCCAAGTCTAGTCCTGGTTTATTCATTTTATGCTGAACTGCAGCCAAATATGCACTTTTTTTATCCTATGCACACGCAGATTTCTGAAAGTTTCGCTGCTGCTGTCAAACTACGGGTCTACAAGCGGCATGAAGAGAAAAAGTGAGAAAAAGGCTCCTGTTGTTCGCTTCAAAGAGTCGGCACTAAGAGCCGCTTCGATCGCGACCGACCCATAACTCCTAGCTAGTAAACTATCGCTATTAGCCTTTAGCCGTAAAAACGTGCGCACCGCGGTAATTAATTATATGCATAAATGTGGATCATTCACACGTCTATTCACAGCTCATTTACATATCAATGCAGGTCCAGTAGCAAATATACGGCCAATGTAGTCACTTTACAATAGACCAATAGAAAACAGTCTGTTTGTGTGTGGGAGCTACAGCAGCTAACCGCTAACAAAACCTAAACTAGCTTCAAAGTCGATGTATTTCCAACACTCACCGCTCACACAGGCTCCTCCTCACATCACAAGTCTGCACTAATAAAAGTCCTTTTAATCCAGACTCAAACCGATTGTCCGAAAAAGAAAATCTCAGTGTTGCGCACCGCTGCGGGTGTAAACAAACACACGCGAGTGAAGTGACGTCACTCTGGTGGTGTGTTCAGGGACAGTATGGACACAGACACAGACAAATTACACCGTAGATAAATACTGATGCGGAGCCACATATTAGGACATTTATCTGTCTGTAAATTGGATTAAATGAACATAATGTAGAGAGTCTAAGCTTTATAACGAGGTATAACATGCCCACGTGAAATATCGGCCCATATCAGCAAGCATATCGGCCGATAGCCGATATGTCTCCAGGTGCCCATATTGGCCGGTAATATCGGCCAGCCGATATATCGGTCGGGCTCTACTAGTGACTCGTGATTCGACTTGGACTTGCCTGTATTTGACTTGGGACTTGACTCGGACTTGGGGTCAAAGATTTGAGACTTAACTGAGACTTACAAAACGACAACTTGGTCCCACTTCTGTTGATAACTGATGCAGAACTTTCAAATTGCAAATAAATATAGGCTACAAGTTTTGCGATGTATAAAACATAAAATGAATAAAATAAATTTTCAACTTGATTATATGGGTTTGGAGATTGTTTGACACACAAATCGATTAATTGCACAGCCTTAAAGTGTACATTAATCAACATTTTTGTAATTGTTCCAACTGTAGTCCCTGAAAGATGGGAAACATGATCACCCTAAAACACAACAATAAGAATTATACAAAAAAGTGCAGAATACAAACTGTCTAACAACCATAACCACAATGTACACAATGAGAAATAACACAGTAAAGCACACAGACAGACGACACGCTCGGGTAGGGAGGGCGGCACACTAAAGATGGCAGGTTTGATGAGTTATTAGCCAGTTCTTGACATGTTTTTGAATAGACTGTATGATGTTAGGACTGAGTTGCTCTCCTGAGAAGCTGTGATGGAAAAGGCACTCTGGCTGAACACACTTTTCCTCAGGGGACGATGCAGTCTCCCCGGGCTGCCCCTCCAGTGAGTCTCTGTGTGGTTGGTTCTGCTCTTGATAAACTCAGACAGTGGAGGAGATGACTGGCCATGGCTGATTTTGTGAATGAGACAGAGGTTTGATGACATTTTTGTTTTGTTTTTGTTTTTGTTTTTTTCCAAGAGAAGTGATCAACCTGATAGACGATGAGGAGGACTCCATGTCTTTGATCCAAGTCAGTCACTCTCCCATTCGCTCGTTCACCTCCATCTCCGAGGCCCAGGACTGCCTCATAGACTTCAGAACGCAGTACCGCGGCAAGAGACCCAGGCCTAGACCGGGGACCAAACCAGGGACTAAACCAGGGACTAAGCGGAGGTGAGGAGGACTGTCACACATGAACTATTTGCCCATTGATCCTGATTTCAGCTCCCACAGATGGGCGCCGTTGTTGTGTCCTTGGGCAAAGCACTTAACCCACCTGTCCCCAGTGTCTGCGTACACTGGTGTATGAATGTGTGCGTGTGAATGGGTGAACGGTTCCTTGATGTAAAGCGCTTCGAGCCTTGAAGGTGGAAAAGCGCCGTATAAAAATGTGACTATTTACCAACTACGGCCTCTAAGATTTCCACAACGGTTTATAGACTTTTCACTTTGTTTCCCACAGTTAAAATGGTTGATCCTGCTACCTCAAAGTGTAACTCCAAAGCTCCATTCAGACTTTCACACTTAATTAAAAGCATAACTTTAAATAGTCTTTTAAAAAGCACAAAGAAAGACTTAATTCATAATGAACAAATAGTTTATTAAGAATGATTCAGGCTTAGTATCATGCAGAATTCACCTTATGGAACTTTCTACCGTCATATCACGTTTTTCTCTCATCAAAAACCTGCCTGAAGAGGTTGTAGACGTCACCCATGCATGTTTGAGTAATCTAGCGATCTCTCATGGGCCCTATTCACGGTTGGCTGTAGGATTCTGTCCAAAGCTCCGCCCACAGCCTTCCCACATGACAAGTTTTCATAAATGTGCTAAAGCTGGATACAAAACAGTGCTGATTGTGTTGTGACAGCGCTCTGAAGGGGGAGTGGTTTAGTGAGGAGAGCAAAGGGAGAGCGAATATAGCATTTTCAAAGCAATAAAAGGTAACACGATGATTAAATATGTTATGTGTAAGCAAAGAATACGCTGTAGAAGTAGTTACTAAGCTTAAATTATTCTAAACAAACTATTTCATCATTTTGAATTAAGTCTTTGTTCATGCTTTATTAAGGCTAATTAAAGGTGCATTGTGTAACTTTTCTTTTAATTGGAGAATAAGTCTGAGTTCACAAGTTACTTATGTTTTATTCATGACCATAGCGTTAGTTTTTCTCAGGAGTAGTTCACTAATGCATCGTCGTTGTTCACCTTTACGTTTTCGTCTTTCTTACCTTGATAGTTGTGGATAAATTCTTCATGGACAGAATATTTCCTTTGTCGACCTTGTTGGTTGAAGATTTGGTGATGGGGCAGATTTATGAAGCTGGTGGAAAATACGCGAGACATTTTCATAGATATTTTGCCATAGAAAAGCTTTAACTGACCCTACAACACGGCACTTTTGGCTGTTGTGAAGTGAAAAAGGTCTGTTTTGGTCCTGTCACTGTGTCTTTCATGTTGTAAATGAACCATGCTTTGTGTATGTATATGAATGTGCACTGAACCAGTCCCTGCCCATACTCACATAAAGTATATTGAGTACACAACGGCAGAGTCTGATCAAATACTTCTCACTTTGGTCTTTTAAATGTTCACATAGGCTGCTGAATTCTTGGCTTTAAATCTTAAGGGTCTGATATTACGTAAAATTAACTCTTGTGAGGTTTAAGTCATGTTGTAATGTTGTTTCCTCCTCAAAAACAGACCTGGAGTTGTGTTTTGTTTCAAAATGTTAAAATGTGATCTCCTCAAAATTAGATCTGGAGTTGGGTTTTGTTTCATTCACACGTTTGAGTAACACTTTATTATTAGTTTGTCTACATCTCCAAAGCTCAAGGAATTATGTGGTAAACATGTGTGAATATTGAGAAAAAACCTGCACACCGTCTTGCAAATTGTGAAATTTATTAGGACATAAGGTCAAAATTTCACAATCTGCAACTAAGACGGTGTGCAGGATTTTTCTCTGTGTTGAGCTTCTCCCTCGCCTCCAACGCACCCGTTTCAAGAAACTGGTGTGCGAAGTTTTCATTCATTTATAAATGAGTGAATGAAGCAAAACACAAAACTCCAGGCCTGTTTGCGATGAGGAAACATCACTGGCGCCACCTACTGCCTCTGCTCAATTTCATTTCTCTCTATCAACTAGGTCAGGAATCAAAATACAATAGACAGTCTGCAAAAACCCCAGAAGTGCAAGTTCGGGCACCAGCCAATCAGCGAAGAGTGACATATTCAGTGTTGTCAACGATTCCCGAGATTGAGGATTTAAAGCCGGAATAAAGAGAATGTTTAGTGAATTTTATCAAGGGGAAAGCCAATATTGCCCTTCTTCCAACAGGATTTGGGAAACGTTTAATATTCCAGTTAACCCCGTTACACTTCACGACCAAATGGCAGCGACTGGTTAAATGATAAAAAGTACCAGCCTACTGTCGAACGAACGAAATCTAAGGCTGTGAAATCAGACGGTTTGTACGAAGTGAAACGAAGTAAAACCGGCTGATGTATCAGGCTACAACATTATAACATAGATCAGAAAATAGAATAATATGGACCTTTTAAAACACATTTTATTTTGAAACGACCAGTCACTTTCAAACTAAGACTAGAACTAATCAGAAATTCTTATTCTGACAAACCATAATCATTTTTGTATTTTGATTTGCTTATTTCCAGTTACTACACAGCATTAAGAGTACATTAAGGGCCCGTCCTGTTACAAGAGCTGACATTTCAAAGGTTTCTAGAAGAGTGACTGCAACAGTTTCTAAATACTATGCTATTTTCTGTACATTTGTTCTGGAAATCCCAACAGGCGTCACCCTGTGGACAACAGCTTTCCTCACATGATTAATTAAAGGAGGAACTTGAAATAGAAGAAATCCCTCATCACAAATTCAACACATTCAAATAACCCATATTACACTATTTTCTGATCTGTTATAATGTTGTTTCCTCATCACAAACAGACCTGGAGTTGTGTTTTGTTTTGTTTTCATTCACACATGTTTAATTCACACACAAACCCTTCATATTTAGGCTGACAAAACACTAAAAACACAACTCCAGATAAGTTTTTAATGGGGTAACAACATTATAACATGACTTAAAGCTCACGAGAGTCAGTTTTGCGTAATATAGAACCTTTAAGACGCAAATAAATCCTATTCACAAAGTGCTTCTCACAATACCCCCACTTCTATTTAAACTTTGCCTTACTGTATTAAATGGACTTCTATCAGTGTATGATTTGTGATAGAGACGCCTTATCACGGCTTTGGATAAGAGCGGAGTGACTAAAGGCTCTTAATCAGACGCACTCCACGGACCTTAAAAGAGAAGAAACAAACTGAAACTTCCTGTGACTTCATTGTAGCAATGAGTTTTCTGAGTTTTGTAATTGTTCCGCAACTGAATAAAGAAGGTGCAACAGAAGAAGCCATCGTCACTGTGGAAAAATAAAATAATAAAACTGTTTTGTACATAAAAATGAGTTGGGAGTTTGTTACTGAAGTTTAAAGGTGCACTGTGTAACATTTTCTATCACCTGCTTGTTTCTATAGATGTGTCATTGCTCTGCCTGGAATGTTCCACAGTATGACTTTAAACAGCTCTACATTACATTTATTCAATTACAGGTGGTTTTATATCTCAAAAATACCAGGAAAAACAGGTATTCTATTCCTCTCCACAGATCTGACCTGTAACTTGGTCTGGTTTGATCTCCATGATGATAGAAAGGTTTAATGCCATACTGTGGAACATTCCAGACAAAGTAATATCATCGCCATGGAGAAAAGTATTTGACGGACACTCCACCAGAAAAGTTACACATCAATGTACCTTTCAGTCTAAAAGGGCATAGCTTTGTTTTGTTTTGTTTTGTATTTTATTTTATTTTATTTTATTTTATTTTATTTTATTTTATTTTATTTTATTTTATTTTTTTATTTTATTTATTTTATTTTATTTTTTATTTTATTTATTTTATTTTATTTTATTTATTTTTTTATTTATTTATATTTATTTTATTTTATTTTATTTTATTTTATTTTATTTTATTTTATTTTATTTATTTTATTTTATTTTATTTTATTTTATTTTATTTTATTTTATTTATTTTATTTTATATTTATTTATTTATTCATTTATTTTTTTATTTATTCATTCAATATTGACACTTTGCAGCTGATATCATCAACATTCCCTGGGGTGTGGCGCTAACTGTAGGCACTGCCCTGTCAGAACCTCTATTAGACTTGTTAGACGAGATCAGGGGTCATCAAACTAAGGCCTGCGGACTAACTCTGGTCCTCTACGCCCCTTTGACCGGCCCCCCAGCCCCTCTGCTCCTCACTACTTGAACTGGCCCTGCGAGGCAATCCTTAAAAGTTCATGGCCTGTTTTTTTTTATTACATTTTTGGCAAATAATAACACGTCTACATCTTGTATTTTGTTGATTTTTTTTTTCAATTAAAAAATTATATTTACATGACGTATTTATATTTATACTACCGTTCAAAAGTTTGGGGTTGCTTAGAAATTTCCTTATTTTTGAAAGAAAAGCACTATTTTTTTCAATGAAGATAACTTAAGCAATGTATAGAGTGTATTTCTGATTAGCTTAATGTGGTAAATGACTATTCTAGCTGCAAATGTCTGGTTTTTGGTGCAATATCTACACAGGTGTATAGGGGCCCATTTCCAGCAACTGTCACTCCAGTGTTTTAATGGTACAATGTGTTTGCTTGTTGTGTCAGAAGGCTAATGGATGATTAGAAAACCCTTGTGCAATCATGTTAGGACAGCTGAAAACAATTTAGCTGGTTAGAAAAGATATAAAACTGACCTTCCTTTGAGCGGGTTGTGTATCTGGAGCATCCCATTTGTGGGGTTGATTAAACGCTAAAAATGGCCAGAAAAAGAGAACTTTCATGTGAAACTCGACAGTCTATTCTTGTTCTTAGAAATGAAGGCTATTCCATGTGAGAAATTACCTTTCCTACAAAGGTGTGTGCTACTCCCTTCTTAGAACAGCACAAACAGGCTCTAACCAGAGTAGAAAGAGAAGTGGGAGGCCCCGCTGCACAACTGAGCAAGAAGATCAGTACATTAGAGTCTGTAGTTTGAGAAATAGACGCCTCACAGGTCCTCAATTGGCAGCTTCATTAAATAGTACCTGCAAAATGCCAGTGTCAACACCTACAGTAAAGAGGCGACTCCGGGATGCTGGCCTTCAATGCAGAGTGGCAAAGAAAAAGTCATATCTGAGACTGGCCAATAAAAGAAAAAAAATAGTATGGGAAAAAGAACAGACAGAGCAAGATTGGAAAAAAGTGTTATAGATGGACAAATCAAAGTTTGAGGTGTCTGGATCACACAGAAGAACATTTGTGAGACAGAACAACTGAAAAGATGCTGGAAGAGTGCCTGTCTGTCAAACATGGTGAGGGTAATGTGATGGTCTGGGGTTGCTTTGGTGCTGGTAAGGTGGGAGATTTGTTCAGGGTAAAAGGGATTTTGAATAAGGAAGGCTATCACTCCATTTTGCAACGCCATGCCATACCCTGTGGACAGTGCTTGATTGGAGCCAATTTCATCCTACAACTAAGACTGACCCAAAGCACACCTCCAAATTGTGCAAGAACTATTTAGAGAAGAAGCAGGCAGCTGGTGTTCTATCTGTAATGGAGTAGCCAGCGCAGTCTCCAGGGGCCTCATTTATAAAAAACTGCGCAGGAGTTGTCGTAAGTTCGTGCGTAGGCGTGCGCCACGCAAACTCCATATTTAGAACACCCACCGCACGCACCAAACCACACAATCTTTGCTTTATAAATCCCACCTGCAACTACAATTTGCGCACGTAAACCCACGTCACGTCACGCCCTCTCCACACCTCCACCTCACCATAAAAGGAGCATGTAAAGTGACTCGTGAATGAGATTTCCCTAAACATGAGCCGATAATCAGTGGGTTTGACCGAGACACGCGGGACAGAGGGAGGAGGACGCTCCACGCAGCACCACGTGATCACCACAAAGACTTTATTAAACAAGGTTTAATAAATAAATACAAAACTAAAAGTAACAACAACGACTCATCTGTTGATTTAATCATATTTCATAATATTTAGGCAGCATTTTTTTTTTTTTTTTTTTGTTTTTTTTTTTGCTGTTTCAAGAGTTTTATCGCTATATTTTTAAGTCTGTCTATGAAGTGTGTGTGGACTGGCCCTGTATATTTATGCATATACACGTAGATACGTGCACGCGCTGATCTGAATGGTCAAATTATGAGCACGTGCGAGAGATTCAGATGCCCTTCCCTGGAGAGGGAAAGGAGCGAGGGAGGGACACGAGGACACAGATTTAGCATGAAACACATCATTTACAGATGTTATTCTGCCAATTAAAGTTCACACGAAACATCCAAACTGCTGAACCTGTGAGTGTGGGTCTGGGTCGGGACGGGCACAGGCATTATTCTGTTCTTCATACAGTCAGAGAGCAGCTCTCATGTGCAAGAGTTCCCCATTACACAAAA